TATATTTAAACATAGCTAATATTCAAGGGTAAAAAAATAAGAAAACCCCAATGTATTAGACCATATGCCAAAGTAATCAATAATAATACTGTCAATTTTGACGCACATCAAACTATCCGCCATTTCATCTGATTCTGATTGAACGAAATGCAATGGTATACTTTCAGACCCTTGTGATTGCTATTTGGATGTGTTTTTTTTCTGCTTTACTCAAAATCGTGCAAGCAAGGGGACCCAAAACAAAGAATATACGTCTTATGGCCTAACTTGAAAAGTAGTGGAACAATTTGCTTCATATATTGTATATTTGGTACACTGTCTAATGACACTTTGGGGACACTAGGTGGCCATTTTGAAAATTGGCCACCATCTTTAAGTGTGTTATTTTAAGGTAGGTAGTGGAGCAATTTTGTTCATTTTTGATATGTGAATACTGTAAGCATATAAGCATGGTACACTGTCTAATAATTTTGAATAATGGCAACCATCTCAACATGTGTTATTTTACATTTTATACGAGAACTCAAAAAGTAGAATAGTGATTTTGTTCCTATTTGTTTGGAGAATACTCATAAGCATATTAAGCACGGCACACTTTCATATACATGTATGTCATACACGATCTCAACATGTGTAATTTTACATTTTATATTGTTAGTACCTCAGTTGAAATACTCGATTTTGATTGGTCAACGAGCGGTGAATAATTTTAACTGTACACCGCGCAATGCATTGTCGGTGAATAATATTCCCAGCATTTCACTAAAATGACGTCATTATCAGACAATAAAATGGCCGCCGCTAGCACTAGCCATTTCAAAAATGTTGAAGATGAGGATATTATTAGTCTCTTAGAGAGTAAAGGCAGTCAAAATACGAAGAAAAATCTAAAACTTTGTACAAAGCTTTTAGTGGACTTCGCCAAGGAGAGTAATTTGACTCCATTGAGTGAACTTACTGCCGTGCCAGATGTAGATAATTTTTTGAAAAAGTTTTACGTTGGTATTAGAAAAAAAGACGGTGGACTTTATAAGTTGAAATCATTTCAGCTTCTTAAATGGGGAGTGGCACGATACATCAGAGAGACACTTAAGATGGACATTACCAAGTCTGAATTCAAGGCATCAAACGATGTTTTCAAAGCGATGGTTGTGGAACTGCAGAAGTCAGGAAAAGGTAAAATCACCCACAAACCTGTGTTGGAGCCAGAGGATCTTAAAAAGATATACTCAAGAATCGATCTTGAATCTCCAAAAGGATTACAGTTTAAGGTATTCATAGACATTATGATACATCTTTGTCGACGTGGAAGAGAAAATTTACTTGTCATGAACCGAACAAACACATTCATGTTGAGTCATGATGGCACTGGTGCAAAATATGTAGAGCAGATGGCTGGCGAAATGGATAAAAACCATAGAGACGTGAAATGTGACTTGAATGAAGGGCGGATGTATGAAATAAAAGGTTAGTTATCACAGGTGTGAGCATCATAGCGAATGAGTCCCGGGACGCAATGGGTCTAAAATATTCGCGTCCTGAGCTCAAAATCTGCATAAATACGAACATTTTTTCAATTCAAATGTTAATTGACCATGGTAAGTTCATTTTTTCATTATTTAAAATACATAGTTTTTGTATAAATAGTGTGTTCATTGACAATTTTCAATTTATTAGACTCCAGATTGAAAATCTGTAGTCTATTGTTTTTGCCTGTTTTCTTATTATTCTTCTTTCTTTCTTCCTCCTAACAGATTTTCTCTCCAACTATAAGATCTTACTTAATCCAACCTACATGGTTGACTAGGGAATGTATCTGGCTTTCTGGGAAATTAGGTCAATTTTTTATCTAGGTCAAAGGTCAAGAACTAGGTCAAATCCAGTACTTTGTCACTTTTTCTAATTATCTCGGTCGTCCTTCAATATTTTTGATCCGGTTTTTTTTCATTGTGTTCCTCATGAAAAAGTAGAAAACCGCAATACGATTTAGATTTTTGATATCTCGAACCGATTTCGAGATATCAGTGTCCGAAAACGAGGTCCAAAAAAAAATTCTCCGAATCAAATGTCCAAGATATTAGTCTTATAGGAAATTTTCTCAGGATTCCAAATCTGAAAATCAAATTCAGATCGAACTTCCGGTTCGGAAGTTATGGCGTTTTGAAAGCTCAAAAATCGCTAAATTGTGTGCCCATGTTCAGTCAATGGGAAAGAAGATTTTTTTGAAGTGAAAAATACGAAATATAGACCGAGTTCAGCTAAATGCAATGAAAGCTTTTAAAAGAATGGGACCTCAAAAGCCATCTAGCTTCAAAATTTGGACACCAAAATGCCTAGGTCAAAATCTAGGTCAAATTCAAAGTTTTTCCTTATTTTTAGGATTCTGACACTACAGATTAATAATATTCTTCGAAATTTTGTATACATGTAGCCAAGAGTGTGCTAATAGTGTTAGCCTTTTGCCGTCAGAAAGTATTTTGACCCACTTTTGAGATATGGTGTCCGAAAAGTAGGTCAAAATAAAAAATTCTCCAAACTCAACATATGAGTTATGAATTAAGGATAGAATTTTCCCAGGAATCCGAATCTGCAAACCAAATTTTGATCCGACTTCTGGATCGGAAGTTATGACGTTTTGAAAGCTCAAAAATCGCTAAATTTGGTGCCCCATGTTATGTCAATGAGAAAAAAGATTTTTTGATGTGTAAAATACCAGATATAGACTGAGTACAGCTTAACATTCTGAAAGCCTATAAAAGAAGGGGACTTCGAGGGCTATCTAGCTTTAAAATTTGGACACCAAAATGCCCAGGTCAAAATCTAGGTCAAATTCATAGTTTTTCCTTATTTTTGCGATTCCGACATTACACTTTAATGATTTGCTACGAAATTTTGTATACAGGTAGCGAAGAGTGTGTTAATAGTGTCAGCCTTTTGCCGTCAAAAAGTATTTTGACCCACTTTTGAGATGGTGTCAGAAAAGAAGGTCAAAATAAAAACTTCTCCAAATTAAACGTATGAGTTATGTATTAGGGGTAGAATTTTCTCAGGAATCCGAATCTTTAAACCAAATTTCGATCCAACTTCCGGTTAGATAGTTATAGCGGTTTGAAGTCTCCAAAAGTTGATATGATGATATCCCCATGTTAAGTCAATGGAGTCGAAGATAACCTACTTAAGAGTTGTCTAAATGTCTATATTCTAGCTGACTCAGCTTATTCTGAATGACTCAGCTTACAAGTATCTGAATGACTGAGCTCAAAAAAAGTTTGAAATCTGGAGTCTTAAATTGAACTTGTTCAATTTACATGTCTAGTTATTTGTATGATAGTTTTAAACATTAACAGAACAATATTCATGGAGCACTAGTTATACGCTCATAAATTCATTATAACATTTTTGTCTTCTTTTTCCATTTTGTCTTATTTTACTGTGAACAAATTTACGTATATGTACACCCTACACTTTGCATATGTCTATTGACACATGTTTTCACTAATTAGTTTGTGATTGTGCTTTCAGGATATGACCGGGGCGAAGTTAGGAAAATTTCTGGACACAAGTCCGAGACATCCATCAGCTCATACGCACACAGGTTAACCTCAAACAAGAAGAGACAGATTTCCTCTACTCTGTCAGATAGTCTGTGCTCTGCAGTCGATGAGTCATCCGAAAATGAATTCCAGAATCCTTGTAGCTGGAAGAAGTTACAAAAAGGTAACAATTACATTTGCTTCCTAAGCCATTAAAAACTGATTATATGTTTAACATCCCCGCGCAAAAGATTTGAGAAAATTTAGATACAACAAATCAAAAATGCTAGGTGCCATTAACTTGTAAATCCAAATGACTAGTGAAACCTGGAAAGTGTAATCACAGATCATATCAGAGTGAAAGGGATGCCATAATTGAAAATTACATGTACTTTTGGTCCAATTTTGTCTGAGTTAAAAGGTAAACATCCTAATGGTGAAGTCTCTTTAGAAATCAGTTACATGTACTTCCTATGTTTTCTTGTACTTTTGAAATGAAAAAGCATATAAAAATCCATCATGATCAAGTTCTGTTTTTAAAACTTTTTTAACCTCCCACCCTCCTATGAAACCTCAGGTGGATGTTAAACATAAATTAACTTTGAATGGCCTAATATCAGTTAACAAGTAAGAAATACATTAAAACCTGTGTAAGTGGAAGAGTCTTTGTGCCTGAATTGATATTTCCCTTTGGAGATTCACAAATGGATATAAATGATATTTCGAGAAAATCCGTAGGATTGTCATTTTGTACCATTGGAAATGGATTGTGGATGCCAGATGTTTCTGAGATTTCATTTAAAAATGAGTGAAATATCAACATGAGGTACACTATAACTTTTATCCTAACCATGGGATAATAAAGTTTAATCATTTTATAGTTTAACCTATATTTCCTTCAATTTTCTTTCAGAGAAAATTTCCAAGAATCTCCGCTCCCCTGGAACATTAACTAAACTGGTCAGAGAGAGGGTCGATACCTACACATCTACACTCTCTAGTAATATGTGTGCTGATGTAGTTGATAAACCATCTGAAAACGAGGAGCCGCGTAGCCTAGGGAAGCCACGCAAAGGTAACAAGTGTTCCTTACATAAATCAAAAGGATATCCTCAAAGTTCATTATTTATTTCAGGAAAAATGAAAGATTTTCCACATTAGGCTAATGTGTTTAATATCAATATGCCACTCTATAATTTGGGATAGTTTACACATATTTCTGTACTTTGATATAGAGAGAACTTCATCATGTGCCATTTAGAGATATTATATTTAGGATGACAAAGAACACATCTGGATCATTTTTTGTTAATATTGCTTGCAGTTTCTTCACCCCCTATATGAAGTGAAGTTTAATCATTTTAATGTATTGTACACTTGCAAAAAATGAGTTCAAATTCAATTTTCTTTCAGAGAAAATTTCAAAGAATCTCCGCTCCCCTGGAACAGTAACTAAACTGGTCAGAGAGAGGGTCGATACCTACACATCTACACTCTCTAGTAATATGTGTGCTGATGTAGTTGATGAACCAATTGAGAACAAAGATCCCCTTAGCCTGGAGAAGTCACACAAAGGTAACAATTATTCCTTACATCAGTTAACAAATACATTGCTTCAGACCTTATTGTGGTATTCCATATGACAATATTCCCTGAACTTCGTCTTTGTAAAGCCATTGCACCTTCCCCACTCAATCTAGATCACCTCTACTACAAGCTGAATAGGAGCAAACGGATCAGTAGTCTGGAGCAAGATTAACTGTATTTTACTTTTCCTAATATTACATGTATAGTTCAATCAGCTTGAAGTATTGTACAGAAAATGAATTCAAGTTTAGTTTATTTTTTGCTGAAAATTCAATTTCACATTTTTCAATTCAGTGGTTGAATTTTTATGTTTCCAGAAGATGGAGAAAGAACACTGGCTGTACCTGAAACGTTCAATTCCCCAGTAGCAATAAACAATGTTCTTAGTGAAAGCGAAGTAGATACAAGTGAAAACCCAGTTTCTGTACCCATACTCAACTCAGATAACCCTGGACTTTCACTTCAGAGCCATGCCAGCAGTTTTACTATTACAAACTGTCAAGTTTATATCCATAATCACTACCACAAGTAAAACTCAGTCACCAGTATTCTTTGTAAGAGCCTAGTAGATGCACAAATGAGCAGTTAACTCCAGACTTTAGAACTATGCTCAGATGCTATCGTTTTACTATCAAGAACTGTGAAGTTCATATTTATAATCATTATCACTACCAAAAGTTAAATGAAGTGATACTGATATAAGTGTTAATTATTTTACTACTGTTTTATTTTAAAACATTGATATTTATTTTTAATTCCACCTTATATTATATACATTAAATGTTATTTACATGAAATAAATTATTTCTTAATCATAATATCAAAATAGCATATTGTGTTTGAAATACAACATGAACGTCTCGAGGGTCTGGATCCAACTTCAAGTCAACTTCAAGGGTCAGAAAAATCTAAGATATTCTTCGGACTAACAAAACAATTATAGACCTCTCCATTCAGTTTACTGTCAAAATTATATCCCTCGACTGTAAACCTCGACCTACGGTCTCGGTTTACAGTCTCGGGATATAATTTTGACAGTAAACCTCTGGAGAGGTCAATAAATGTATACTATAACTCAAAAAATAGTATAGCGATTTTGGTCATATTTGTTTGGAGAATACTCCTAAGCACTGCACACTTTCATAAACATGTATGTCATTTTTGCTATTTGGTGGCCAAAAAAGGCCATCATTACATGTTTATGTGTGCCATTTTGTGAAATTCAATATATGCCTTCTTAGAAACATATTACACTCTCTGATGACAATTTCATCATTTTTGCTTTATACTTCTTTTGTAAAAGTGCCAGCCATGGCTGTTCAATGGGATTTGCTATGCTTTGGCTTTGCTGTTGTTTAGTTATTTTCTGAAAATTTGACATAACCATTTTCAGTAATCATATTTATCAAATTATGATTTCAGACCAGGAAACAAAGAACAACCCTGACAGCAGTGCAGGAGAGTGCCATCCGTGAAGCCTGGCAGGGAGGTCTAAAAAGTATAAATAAAGAAAATATGGAAAGAATACAAATTCTAGCAGAGAATCTACATTTGGATAAATCAGTTGTAAGGGTAAGTACAAGATATGGGTACATATTTTTGTCTTAACACATGTACCCATACTTTTTTACACTTTCAACAGTTATAATTTTTATCATCCCATAAAACGAAAGATAATGGCTCCGTCCGTTTTTGAAGTATAGCTTTATTATACTCAAATGCTGTGAATGGGGGGTTTGAAAAGCAGGAATTTGCATTAATTTTGAGATGTTTTTGAAGTATAGCTTTACTATACTCAAATGAAAGGCAATTTAGAGTAGATTGCAAATTTTGTATCGTTTTTTTGATTCGGGCCTCGTAAAATTCAAAATGGCCGCCTAATGTGGGATTTCGCAATTATTTTTTGATCTCTTAAAGTATGGCTATATTATACTCAAATTGAAGGAATTTCGGAGTAGATCACAATTATGGTATTGTTTTTCTAATTTATGCCTGAGAAAATTCAAAATGGTTGCCTAGAGCAGGAAATATGGTAAAATGACACTACGATGATCTCAAATATTTATTGAAGGGAAGGGTAGATGGTAAATATTACATTGTGACTGTACAGATTCATGATTTATATAGTGTTCGTTGGGATTTGCTACTCTGTGTAGTTGCCGTTTTCTAGTTTGTATTATAATAACAGTTACGATATTGTGTTTGCAGAATATAATAAACAATCTGAATGCCAAGTCTGCAGGGAGGACCTAACATAAGGTTCCTGGTCGCATGAATGGATACACTCTCTTTTTAAAGAAAGAGAAGGCATCCCCAGGTATTATATTTCATAATTTTGTGAAATAGTATTCTAGACATGGTTTTGACAAAGTTGTTATAATATGCCATTGTTAGAGTCGATTTTTTCATTATTATATAATATATTATTATTATATAATGAATAATGAAAACAACCAAATAATTTTAAGGTGACAATAAAAGTAACCAGTAGATCAAATTTTGTTGACATCAGTTGCACAAATCCACATGTATTAAGCAGCTACCTCTATTAGGCCATGACTTATTTAATTTTCTATTTTTAAGGAACGATGGCTTTCAAGGAAGCAGTCAAGGTATGGAAAGATATGACACAAGCTGACAAGGTTGCCTTTAACAATGAGGCAAAAGAAGAAGAAGAAGCAAAAAAGAGCTCCTACAATGAGTCTCAAAGGAAAAAAGTATTCCGTAATGCTATGAAAATCATCAGAAAACAAGTACGTTTTATTAGATTTATGAAATATATGTCCCAGGATCCTCAGTATTTCATTGTTATTAACTAATGGGTGGGTCTGTGAGAATCATTTGAAAGAAAGATTATGAAAAGAATATTAGGAAGACACTCAGGAAAAGATGCTTTTTTCATCGTATTTTTTTTTTTCCAAAATCAAAACATATTTACATATAAATTTAATCAAGATTACAAAAGTTAAGTAAGGTGTGATAATATAAAATATAAGGCTACAGTAAGAACATAAAATAAACTTATTAAGATGTGAAAAAGAAACGCAGCAAGTACATGTCTGTAAAGATGTCAAAAAAATATATCTACATATACTATGATCTACATCTACTCTATTAAAACAAGTTCAAAATTATTAATGCAATCCTCTAAAAGGTGCAACATTTCATTATTTTTCTTCTTCATATGATTCATATTTTCAACATACTTGGATAAATATATAAAGGCTTGATTTTTAAAATTTACATCCTTAAGTTCTTCATAATCCTCAGAGTGTTTAATCCAATTTACATAAATGCTATAGCTGACCACAGTTGTGACAATATTTCTAAATTCTTGAATATTTCCTTCCTTCATATAAAACCCTAATATCATATTTTTCCATTGAATATTACATTTTAAAATCTTTCCAACATTAACCCAAAGATTTCATCGTATGATTGTTTTTAAACATTTCATCATACAATTCATTACAATTTTCCCCCTTGAAATTGTGAATGGAAAAGTTTGCAGTGCTGTTAGTTTGAATTTATTATTTTACTGTTACGCTCCCTGTGCTTTGATACTAAATATTACTTTGATACTGTGATGGCCCTGTGCTTTGATACTAAATTTTACTTTGATACTGTCCGGATCAGTATTTATAGAATATTAATACAGTGCCAGACTGAGCCAAGCATTCAAAAATCTAACTAAGAAATTTTGTAATAAACTTCTTTACCTTATTCTCTATTTAATGAAGACATATTTATCTCACATTTCTTGTATTGTTTCAGTGTGATTTAATACAACAGTTTGGAGGTGAAATCGGGGTTTTTTCCATATTTGGAAACAATTTCACATCATTTGGCACAAGCAATGGGACGCTGGGCATTGAGCCACTAAAAGATGCATTTTCCCTCAACATTAGTAAGTATACCTATGACATTTTTGCGATCTTGAAATGTTGCAGTTATTTATTGGCTATAATTTAGAAGAACTAGGATATTGATATTGCATGCTTATTATATTTCGGGAATTATCCAAAACTTGGGAAATGCAAAATATAGAAAATATTCGTCTGTAATTTATATTATCCTTAGGAAAATGTGCAGTAGTAGTTCATATTATCTTCTTACTTGTTTTATGAAGTAATTTTCTCAAATATTTGTATGTTGTCAAATTGTTTTGTAGTAAAAGGGGAACATCCAGCTCCAAACTCCAGTGATAGTGGGACTGACAGAAAGACCATAGTTGGAGAAGTAAGGCAGGCCTTGAAAGGCATGGTTGATGGAGGTAAGTACAGATGTAAGATTTTAAGTTCCATTAACTTAAATTATTCGCCATTTCGTCTGATTCTAATTGAAGGAAATGCGATGGTATACTTTCAGACCATTGTGATAGCTATTTGGATGTGTTTGCTTTTTTTGATTTACTCAAAATTGTACAAGCAAGGGGACGCAAACCAAAGAATCTTACTTTTATGGCCTTATCTAAGTGGGGAGAATTAAATGAGCTTCATGAGGACATTAGACAGCTCTTGTCAGTGAGGGTTTATACATTAAAGCAGCATTATTGCTAATGACCTCTGAGGATCTGGCAGATTTAAAACTTTAAAAGGCCATACTAGAGCCTTGGAGGCGGCCCTGACCCAATTGAGATCTACTGTGGACAACCCAGGGGCTTTACAACCTCCAGTCATGCAGGACAATCCAGTTACGACAACTGAACTAAACTGTTAAAAAGTAGCCTCACTTCACACTCTTCATGCTAGGTTTGGGGATCCATGCACCTCCAATTCATAGTTATGAGAAATGCGTTGGTAGAGTTAGTCAATAAGCTTGCTTCATCTGGAGATGTGACTAGCAATATACGTGCCCCTGCGTCAAAGGATAGCCAGGATGAGATAAATCTTGGGGGGAACATGTTTTATAGATCAAAAGTAAAACCCAGAGTAGAAAAGATCACACTCCTGCAGTTGACAAGTGCATCTGGCCGTATACTACAGCAAATGATTCAAAAGAGTGCCACAATGACTGAAATTAATGTGTAGATCTAAGATATGACATCGGAGACCACACCCAAACAAACACTAAGGCATCATGTATGTGGTTATAATGATGCTCTTCGAAGGAAACAACATGAACGCAATAGCAAGTGGGATGAAGGCGATATCAACCTGATGAGTTTCAAACTCAGCAAAAAAACTAAGATTAAGGGCCAGACCCTTCGACAGAAAAATCCCATCCAGCTAATCATATTGCACCATTTGTCATCAATGGAAAAGCAGATAAAATGCAGTGAGGACCAATAATGACATTGGTATGCGTGACAACTGGAAGATAGATATCCTGGATTTCAAGAGAGAGCACCACACAACTTATTTTGACATTGCTCTCAGATTTCTTGCTTGTATGTTTAATTTTATTTCATAATGACATGTAAATTATATACAGGATATCTAATATGTAAAGACAATGATAAACATATTTCATATGATATAAAAAATATCCACATTTCAAACATGAAACTTTTACTAAAACAGTCATTAATTAACTTGATTTAATTTACTTCAAAGAATTATGTACAGTAAAACCTGTCTTAGTGAACACCTGTCCCTAGTGGACACCCTTCCTACGCACATAGTCCACTGACTTCTGTATAAATTACCCTCTCTCTAGTGAACACCTACCTACAGTGAACGTTTTTTCTTGGCAAAAAAATGTTCACTATACACAAGTTTTACTGTAATCTCTTTTATAGATTTCACCATTTATCCTACCAGCTCTATCAATGATAATTGATGATAAATAATGATAGATGTTTTTCATTTGTTATGCATAAATCATTCAATGGTGTTGTATTATTTTTAGGTACAAATGGATTCCTGTCAAGCAAACAGGCTGAGGAATCTTTATGGAAGGACAGTGAATATAATTGGGGATCCACAACAAACTTGAATTGCAGAATAGATTTATCATTTTTTATATTTTCCAAAAATAAAGTGACAATAATATGCAGTTGATGGTAAATAGTACAAATAAAGAAGTTATTCACCAGCAGTTGACAGCGTCAAATGGGGTCAAGTCTGGGGGCCGCCTCAAAGCAATTTAACATGCCAAAAACTACCCTACAAAATCATGTGGCGGGCAAGTTCAACATTGGTGATGTAAGGGGGAGGAAAACTGTATTGCCTTCTGATGTCGATGCATCAATTGTTTGTAAGATGATTAGTGCATCACAACGAGGTTTTGGAATATCTGTAAATGGCCTATGTATGAAGGCATATTGCATAGCTTCAAGGCTGAAAATAACCATGCTGCCATCCTGGAAGAAAACTGGCAAGGCTGGAAATGTATGTTAAGCACAAGAATGATGTTACTTGGATTTCAGTTTTTGGTTTGATTCATTGACTAAGCAGTTTTTTGATTGAATTGATTATTGTTTGTTGATTATATTTGCAAAGTTATGAGTTACCACTTCTTGGTGTATTGGTGCATTACTTGTTAACTCAAGATGAGTTGGTTCGATTCCAACAGAAGTGCTTATAATATACGTTTTGTTAAGTATATTCTGCAAACATAACTTCTAGTCTAAACTTATAAAATTCAACATTAACTATTTACAATGGATTATCACTAGTATATTTTATCTATAACAGTATAATAATCATGAGGATCTGAGGATCTGTCAGATTTCAAACTTTAAAAGGCCATACGAGAGCCTTGGAGGCGGCCCTGACCTTATTGAGATCTACTGTGGACAATTCAGGGGCTTTAAAACCTCCAGCCATGCAGGAAAATCCAGTTACTACAACTGAACTGTCAAAGAATAAACTGTTGGTAGAGTTAGTCAATAAGCTTGCTGTATCGGGGGATGTGACTAGCAATATACACGCCCATACGTCAAAGGGTAGCCAGGATGAGATAAATCTTGGGGGAACATGTTTTATAGATCAAAAGTAAAACCCAGAGTAGAAAAGATCACACTCCTGCAGTTGACAAGTGCATCTGGCTATATAAGACAGCAAACGATTCAAAAGAGTGCCACAATGACTGAAATTAAAGCGTAGATCTAACATATGATCCACATCTGAGACCACACCCAACGAACACTAAGGCATCATGTATGTGGTTATAATGATGCTTTTCTTAGGAAACAACATGAACGCAATAGCAAGTGGGATGAAGGCGATCTCAACCTGATGAGTTTCAAACTCAGCAAAAAAACTAAGATTAAGGGCCAGACCATTCGACAGAAAACTCAATCCCACCCAGCTAATCATATTTCACCGTTTGTCATCAATGGAAAAGCAGATAAAATGCAGTGAGGACCAATAATGACATTGGTATGCGTGACAACTGGAAGATTGATATCCTGGATTTCAAGAGAGAGCACCACACAACTTATTTTGACATTGCTCTCAGATTTCTTGCATGTATGTTTAATTTTATTTCATAATGACATGTAAATTATATAGAGGGTATCTAATATGTAAAGACAATGATAAACATATTTCATTTGATATACAGTCATTAGATTTAATTTACTTCACAGAATAATATAATCTGTTTTATAGATTTCAACATTTATCCTACCAGCTCTATCAATGATAATTGATGATAAATAATGATAGATGGTTTTCATTTGTTATGCATAAATCATTCAATACGGTTGTATTATTTTAGGTACAAATGGATTCCTGTCCAGCAAACAGGCTGAGGAATCTTTATGGAAGGACGGTGAATATAATTGGGGATCCACAACAAACTTGAATTGCAGAATAAATTTATCATTATTTGTATTTTCCAAAAATAAAGTGACAATAATATGCAGTTGGTGGTAAATAGTACAAATAAAGAAGTTATTCACCAGCAGTTGACAGCGTCAAATGGGGTCAAGTCTGAGGGTCGCCTCAAAGCAATTTAACATGCCAAAACTACGCTACAAAATCATGTGGCGGGAAGTTCAACATTGGTGATGTAAGGGGGAGGAAAACAGTAGTGCCTTCTGATGTCAAGGCATCAATTGTTGGTAAGATGACTAGTGCATCACAACGAGGTTTCAGAATATCTGTAAATGGCCTATGTATGAAGGCATATCGCATAGCTTCAAGGCTGAGAATAACCATGCTGCCATCCTGGAAGAAAACTGGCAAGGCTGGAAATGTATGTTAAACACAAGAATGATGTCACTTGGATTTCAGTTTTTGGTTTGATTCATTGACTAAGCAGTTTTTTTGATTGAATTGATTATTGTTTGTTGATTATATTTGCAAAGTTATGAGTTACCACTTCTTGGTGTATTGGTGCATTACTTGTTAACTCAAGAGGAGTTGGTTCGATTCCAACGGAAGTGCTTATATGTTTTGTTAAGTATATTCTGCAAACATAACTTCTAGTCTAAACTTATAAAATTCAACATTAACTATTTACAATGGATTATCACTAGTATATTTTTATCTATAACAGTATAATAATCATGATAGATACATGATTGAGGCTTTATAAATGATAAACAATGGATACATCAGTGATGATTACTTTGGACTAGAAAATAGTCCCAGCAAAGAAAATGGTAGACATGAAATATTTAGAATTCACATTGGTTTGAGCTTTATCATACTCTAACAATGCAAGAAGTACATATTTTCATGCTCCTTTGATGTTCCTTGGTAAGGTAAGATGATTTGTGGAAATTTTGGAGTCTTAAAAATGTGTCTCTGTTGCAATCCTACTCCTTGAATTTTTAAAAAGTTTTCCTCACTTCACTGTCTCCATGCTTTGTTTAGGGACCCATGCACCTCCAACTCATAGTTATGAAGAATGCGTTTAAATGTGAAGTTTTCTTTGACATGTCCCTTTAGTCAGGAAATGCATTCACATATAAGGAAAACAGATACAAAATTGTGTGACTTTATCAAACAAGAACACAAATGTGTACAAAATGTCCCCACCAATGGGTGATCCCATCAAATGGTTATCCAGAAAATGAGAAGACAAGACTTTACCGACACTATCTGAGGACAAAATGGGCACCCAGAATGCCATAAAATTAGTAAGTTCTAATTTGAAATTGATCCGTCAAACAGTTCACCACAAAACACGTAAACAAGACTTTACAGACAAGATTTTAGGATGGAAAATCCAAAATGGTCGCCTTGACATTTACCCAGAATGTCAAAAAACTATTCAGTTCAAGATTTTCATACTAAGAATCAT